TTGTAGATTAGAAAATAATGATGAATGATGTTCTTATGATCAGCACATGGGGGTGTATAATCGTAGAGGAAGTGCTTTACATGGTATTTTTACATTATTGACACCTGAAAACAAACGTTGTTTTACAACAATGTCAGATTGAGCTGTATTTAGGCATTGACCATTAGTTAGCAAACTGCTGCCAAAATTAATACAGAATAGTTAGATAGGCATAGGTGTAGCAGAATAATTTAATCAGTTGTGACTTTATTCTGGCTGACGCTCTTGCACCTCTCATAGTTATTGAATTACACTCAAGCTTGTATATTTTCTAATCTTTCAATCAAACAGCAACAGCACAATGTAATCTTTGGAGAGTTGTTTTGAATAGTGAAGTTTATCTAAAAGTTGATTAAGGGAGAAAGCACTTCATATGAATGTGCACCTTATTGGCATAGCTGTTGCTTATGTAATGATGGATTTGATGGTGGAACAGCATGTCCCCCAACAATGTTCAGTGCTATACGGGATCCTTGGGACGTCCCTAAACCTAACCTTAACCATAACCTTTACCTAACCCTAACCTTACCATTTTAAATGTCAACTTCAATGGGGTAGGGACATCCCAAGGATCTTGGATTGCACGGACCCCTGAACAATGGCATTTCTATTCAAAACAGTGGGTGGCCAGTTGCCAGGGACTTACGCTTGGAGGGACAATTTCCATGCCCAAGAGAGAGAAAGGCCCATGGATGCAGACCATGCAGACAGAACAGACAGGGTGGCTGATGGATAGCACTATACAGTAGGCTACTGAGCGGCTGACAAACCTTTACGTAAATAAATACAATGCCATTAAATAAGATGAAAATTGATAACACGACACTCATGGCATTGTACCATGTCAAATAAAATGTTATTATCAACTGTTGTGAAGCTTTCTTTTTTGCTTCATGAAATTTGAAATTATAGATATTAATCAGTGTACTGTGTGTGATCCATACACACACCTAACAATTATTGTTCAAGGTTATTTGGTGGGTCATTCCACGAATAGAGTGCCTTTTGGGTAGTGTACTTTATTTCACCTAATTTTAATATTCTGTCATAAAGAGAACATGTTCAACTTCATATCAAACATGTTTTCGCATCTCAAGAGGTTCAAATTAAGACAAATTACTAAATCATCCTAAATTAGCCATAACTCCTCTTGTGATAGGGGGGAAGGAAGCTTGTTGTGTGTAACAGTGAGGGGTAATTGAATGCAAGCTTAACAAAAAAAATGTGTACTTGTAAAAAACAAATCTAGCCGACCTATCTAGGGCAGTGGAGGCTGCTGAGGGGAGAACGACTTATAATAATGTCCAGAACATAGCGAATGGAATGGCATCAAACACCTGGAAACGTGTTTGATGTATTTGATAACTTTCTACTGACTCCGCTCCAGTCATTACCACGAGCTCGTTCTCCCCAATTAAGGTGCCAACAACCTCCTGTGATCTAGTAATAGGAAGCTCTACTCAAATAACTTAAGTTCATTTTAACTTGGAGGTTCCTAGTTCTGACTAGCACTTGAATGCAGCAATATTCTTTAATATTTAAGGTCCAAAGCAGTCGTTTTTATCTCAATATCAAATCATTTCTGGGTAACAATTAATTACTGTAATTGTTTTCAATTTTGCTAGGACTGTCTGTTATGAATTCTCTGCCGGAGACTCTTAGCACACCATCTCACAGTCCTCTCAGAAACGCAAACACTAACTTTCTAACCTTTGTAGTAGTCACCCCTCCCCCACCGGAGCCTAGCAGGCTCGGTTAGGGGTCATAATGTCATAAACTGTCCTTTCACACCTAGGTCACTGATTGGTTGACAGGGCAGTTGTTAGGGCGGTTGCTAGCGGGCAGGACATCTGCCCCATTTGTCACTTTTCAGTCTCCTTCAAGCAGTCACAGAGAGAGCAGCAAGCACATTACAAATCAACTTTATATTTGTCATATGCTTCTTAAACAACAGGTGTAGACTGTCAGTGAAATGCTTACTTATGGGCCCTTCCCAATAATGCAGAGACAAAAAAATACAAATAATATACAAATAATAAAACAAGGAATAAATACACAATGAGTAACAAGAACTACATACACGGTGTACCAGTACCGAGTCGATGTGCAGGGGTACAAGGTAATCTCTGTCCTGCACAACAACGGGACTCATTCATATCTCTGGACATGTAGGATAGAGTGCATGTATAAATTTAGTTGTGTATATTACTGCCAGTTGTTCAGCAGCATATCAGCTTACATTTCCATATGGTCCTTTGTCATTTATTACTGCATTATTCTGTAAGATTCTGTATCTGTGCATTCTAGCCCTGGTGTATTCATTGGGTATGTGTACATTCATTGCCTCTGTTTTCAGCTGTTACAGAACCATTACCTTTCCATGTACATTCCATTCCTGTGTGTGTCAATAAAGTATCCTTGTGTGTAACTCTGAGGTTGCCTCATTCCCTTCTTACCAGGGGAGGTGCTAGTGGATCACAGACCAGCAAACACGGAGAGCCAGGTCGCTCTCTTTCACTGTCTGGAAGTGGTCTGAGTAGGGAGGGGAAAACTGAAAACTAGCTGTTACGATGTCACCAGGCAGGACAAAATTCCATCCCACCAAAACAGGCTGAAATTTCAGGCGGTCTTTTCAAACGGCTCAATCACTAACTAAAATGGCATTATCATAATTTTCACAATATTATTCCAACCTCAGTGTGGAAATATATATAAAACAGAGGCAAATCATGTTTTTGACTGCACTGGGCCTTTAACTGTTTGTGTTTTTATGGTTACATGTTTTATAGTGGTAGTGCATTGGGGTGCAATTATCATATGATGCTGCAGCTTCTGTGGTCAACACATCAGGGAGATAAAGCCCCACAGCGGTGGTGTCATAATACCCATAAAACCTAGCTGTCAAACAAGGAAATGGTAACCAATAGTTTTTCCACTTTTACCATAGGGGATTTTAGAAACACTTAAAATAAGGGCTGTGTTTCGTGTAGGCTTTCCCTGACGTGATGTTTTGATTACCATGTAAAACTCTCTCTAGGACAAGGTGACTTTTAGCAATATATTCGGCTCTATTTACTCTCAGATTTGAAAATGCTAATTAGCATCAAAGGAGACATAATGCAAAACAACAAATCCCTGCAAGCTCCTGCAAGTCATCTCTAGCTAACACCTTTGCATTCAGGTATTGTGTCAATTTAAAAATTGCACAAGACAGTTCACATAATTGTCCATTTAAAGAAATGTAACCAATTTATTAATTACTACATTTAGCTAACATTAGATAGGTAAGAATTTCTGGATTGACTTTGCCTCGATTGGGCAGTCTCATCCAGATCATCATGGCATTTGTAGTTCTTTATGATAGCCACACTAGCAACTAATTAGCATTTCATTAGTTTTTTTTTGTTGTTGTTTTTTTTTTTGGGGGGGGGGGGTAAATACAGGCGAAAAAATTGATAAAAGTCACCTTGTCCTAGAGAGTTTTACACGGTTATCAAAACGTCACACCAGGGTAAGCCTACACGAAACACAGCCCTTATTTTAAGTGTTTGTAAAATCCCCTATGGGAAAAACTGAAAAAGTATTGGAACCATTTCCCTGTTTGACCGCTAGGTTTTATGGGTATTATGACTCATGCTGTGGTAATCTATTGGAGGTGGACTTATCCAGAGCATCTTGCAACTTGGATGAGAGGACATTCTATATTTTACATTTACGTCATTTAGCAGACGCTATTATCCAGAGCGACTTACAGTTAGTGAATACATATATATATATATTTTTTTTATACTGGCCCCCCGTGGGAATCGAACCCACAACCCTGGCGTTGCAAACACCATGCTCTATCAACTGAGCTACACCCCTGCCGGCCATTCCCTCCCCTACCCTGGACGACGCTGGGCCAATTGTGCGCCGCCCATGAGTCTCCCGGTCGCGGCCGGCTGCGACAGAGCCTGGATTCTCTAGGTTCTCTAGTGGCACAGTTAGCACTGCGATGCAGTGCCTTAGACCACTGCGCCACTCAGGAGTACACTCAAACTGTCCAGCAGTGTTGCATCCAGAGTTCTATTTCAACAGTTTTGTATTTGTAAAATAAAAGGTAAAATAAACCAATTTGTAAAAGAAAATGTAAAATAAGCATATTTGTAAGAAGCTAGAAGGTGTGAAAGATTGTGGGAGAAGTGGCGCCGGAGAAGATGGCTGCCGTTTTACAGCCCTCTAACCAATTGTACCCCCTAGTCATAGACTGTTCTCTCTGCTACCGCATGGCAAGCGGTACCAGAGCGCCAAGTCTAGGTCCAAAAGGCTTCTCAACAGCTTCTACCCCCAAGCCATAAGACTCCTGAACAGCTAATCATGGCTACCTGGACTATTTGCACTGCCCCCCCCCTCCTGAACAGCTAATCATGGCTACCTGGACTATTTGCACTGCCCCCCCTCCTGAACAGCTAATCATGGCTACCTGGACTATTTGCACTGCTCCCCCCCCCCATCCCCCTCTTTTACGCTGTTGCTACTCTGTTTATTATTTATGCATAGTCACTTTAACTCTATCCACATGTACATATTACCTCAATTACCTCGACTAGCCAGTGCCCCCGCACATTGACTCTGTACCAGTACCCCCCAGTATATAGCCTCCCTACTGTTATTTTATTTTACTGCTGCTCTTTAGTTATTTACTTTTATTTTTTTACTTAACACTTTATTTTTTTTATTTTTTTTTGACTTTTTCTTTTTAAAAACTGCATTGTTGGTTAAGGGCTTGTAAGTAAGCATTTCACTGTAATGTCTACACCTGTTGTAGTCGGCGCATGTGGCAAATAAAATTTGCTTTGATTTGATTTGCGTCAATTGTCTAGTCAGATGCCCTTCCCCTCCCCGGATCCACCGCCTTTTTATTGGATGGTAAATCAACCACTGTGGTGTCGTATTGGCTGCAGGTTTTTACTGAGCCTGTTCTTTTGGGCAATCAACATTGGAACAGAAGAGCACTTGTAGTAGCCAGCCAAGCCCTCTTTTTGTTTTCAAAGTGTTTTACTGAAGACGTCAACGATGAAATTCGTGAGATTTATAATGAAAAATGCTACATTGGCCAATGTGCCTAAACATATAGAATATTTTGCAAAATTTTCGCCGTCACCACTCTCTATGAAACAATTTCTCGATTTTGGTGAGTAGCCCTTCAATGTTGTACTACCACGTTGGACAACTGACAATTATTTAATGCAATATCTAACATTTTTAGTTATCGCGTTCTTGTTGTGGAGTAACATAGGCGGCTTGTGTGATTTATGATTTTGCACCACTTTGAATGGTCAGATTCAGAGAGAATATTGTATTGAATGCAAGATACAAGCCTATGCGCACATTTGTTTGTTTACTCTATTGGGCAACATTCCTGGATATTTTGGTCGTCTGTCTTTCCTAGACTAGGCTACTTCATAGTGCAGAGTATTGCGTCATCGTTTGTTGCAAACTCCCGTTCACTGCTAGTCAGAAGCAATGTTCCATCATTGTTTTCGGCACAGCAAATGTCAGGTCTGCTGAGCGCAAACTTGAACGTTGTGAAAACTGTGCAACTTTCAGCGCGCGTTTACTGTGAACACTGAGGCTGTACCCGCTTTAAATTAGTTTTAACAGTGGCCAAGTAGGCTACTTGATCATAATGTGGCTCTATCATCAAAAACAATGGAGAAAATGCATCCCATAACATTTTAACATGGAAATAGTTGTTCTATAATTCAGCCTACCGTAGCAGCCAATGTGTGGTGAGGCCTACATTCCATGATATAAAAAAAAACAAAAAAACATGCAGGGCTTGAAATTAACCTGTGTATCCACTTGTCCTTTAGACAAAGAGGTGACTGAAAATGTTGTTTGATGCAAGAACCCCATACCATAATTACAGAGAATCAGACAAATTATACCCTCTGCCTATTGGCTACTTAGTTTATTCAAGCCTGTCTCAAAATACAACACTGCCCCTTTAAGACAAAAAAACTGGGCTAATAACTCACTAACTAGCAAAGGATATGAACAAAAACTGCACACCTGGCTACATGCAGCTCTCCCTTTGATCTCAGAACAAGCCCATCTACTCACCACTGCTCATGCTGTAAACACAGTCAAGTTCAAAGTGAATGGCACAGATCCATATATGACAATGAACTATTTGCATATAGGCCTACTGCAGCTCTGGTTGGTTATGCCGCACCGGACCTATTCCGATGCATTCTGCCTACAACAAAATCTCTTGTATAGTTAGTTTTGTTTCGGGATGTTGCAATGAGTGGCTAATATTGCGTTGATTAGATCATAATTGCCACAGCAAAGGGAAACGTGGATAGTGTTAACAGGGAAAACAGTAGAACAGTGGTCACCAACCTTTGAGTCAAGATCACTGCAAGCAGAGACCTACTGCTCAGATTTTTTTTTTACGTGACTTAACCAATTAAAAACAGTACTTTAGCAATGAAGTTTGTGCAGTAAGCTATAGGCCCAATACATTTTCACCGCATATTGACTTTGCTTGAATTGTTTGGGCCATTAAAAAATATATACAGTGGGGAGAACAAGTATTTGATACACTGCCGATTTTGCAGGTTTTCCTATTTACAAAGCATGTAGAGGTCTGTAATTTTGATCATAGGTACACTTCAACTGTGAGAGACGGAATCTAAAACAAAAATCCAGAAAATCACATTGTATGATTTTTAAGTAATTCATTTGATTTTATTGCATGACATAAATATTTGATACATCAGAAAAGCAGAACTTAATATTTGTTACAGAAACCTTTGTTTGCAATTACAGAGATCATACGTTTCCTGTAGGTCTTGACCAGGTTTGCACACACTGCAGCAGGGATTTTGGCCCACTCCTCCATACAGACCTTCTCCAGATCCTTCAGGTTTCGGGGCTGTCGCTGGGCAATACAGACTTTCAGCTCCCTCCAAAGATGTTCTATTGGGTTCAGGTCTGGAGACTGGCTAGGCCACTCCAGGACCTTGAGATGCTTCTTACGGAGCCACTCCTTAGTTGCCCTGGCTGTGTGTTTTGGGTCGTTGTCATGCTGGAAGACCCAGCCACGACCCATCTTCAATGCTCTTACTGAGAGAAGGAGGTTGTTGGCCAAGATCTCGCGATACATGGCCCCATCCATCCTCCCCTCAATACGGTGCAGTCGTCCTGTCCCCTTTGCAAAAAAGCATTCCCAAAGAATGATGTTTCCACCTCCATGCTTCACGGTTGGGATGGTGTTCTTGGGGTTGTACTCATCCTTCTTCTTCCTCCAAACATGGCGAGTGGAGTTTAGACCAAAAAGCTCTATTTTTGTCTCATCAGACCACATGACCTTCTCCCATTCCTCCTCTGGATCATCCAGATGGTCATTGGCAAACTTCAGACGGGCCTGGACATGCGCTGGCTTGAGCAGGGGGACCTTGCGTGCGCTGCAGGATTTTAATCCATGACGGCGTAGTGTGTTACTAATGGTTTTCTTTGAGACTGTGGTCCCAGCTCTCTTCAGGTCATTGACCAGGTCCTGACGTGTAGTTCTGGGCTGATCCCTCACCTTCCTCATGATCATTGATGCCCCACGAGGTGAGATCTTGCATGGAGCCCCAGACCGAGGGTGATTGACTGTCATCTTGAACTTCTTCCATTTTCTAATAATTACGCCAACAGTTGTTGCCTTCTCACCAAGCTGCTTGCCTATTGTCCTGTAGCCCATCCCAGCCTTGTGCAGGTCTACAATTTTATCCCTGATGTCCATACACAGCTCTCTGGTCTTGGCCATTGTGGAGAGGTTGGAGTCTGTTTGATTGAGTGTGTGGACAGGTGTCTTTTATACAGGTAACGAGTTCAAACAGGTGCAGTTAATACAGGTAATGAGTGGAGAACAGGAGGGCTTCTTAAAGAAAAACTAACAGGTCTGTGAGAGCCGGAATTCTTACTGGTTGGTAGGTGATCAAATACTTATGTCATGCAATAAAATGCAAATTAATTACTTAAAAATCATACAATGGGATTTAGATTCCGTCTCTCACAGTTGAAGTGTACCTATAATAAAAATTACAGACCTCTACATGCATTGTAAGTAGGAAAACCTGCAAAATCGGCAGTGTATCAAATACTTGTTCTCCCCACTGTATATATATTAAAACATTTGAGGTAGGCTATATGATCACACCGGTAATAGATCTGTTGTTGTATTACTTATAAGGCACAGCTGAGTGAGCATACATTTAAATCGTTTGCTTTTTATTTTAATTTTACTGGGCTGATGTGCCTGCATCTGATGGTCAGTCTCAGTGGAGGGAGAGAGCAGCAGACGTCGCTCTGCTCTCCCTTACCTCCACGGACACTGACCAAAAAGGGACACAGTCTTCCAGCTGATGGCGAAACTCGAGTCGCACCACATTATTTCTGTCTCATGCACAAATTCATGTTACTCCCATGAACAGAGGAAGTGAAATATTCCTTGACCCAAACCGCTAATAATAACAACGCAAGCTTATCGATACACTTTCCTACTCATTCATTACTGCTGCAGTGCTTGTATGTTCCCTGAGTGGAAATAGGAAGAACGTGCATTATGGCGTATAAAAGTGTTGAATAGAAAGTGTTTACAGTGCTGAGTAAGAACTTAAACATGAACTCACTCAAAACAGCAGTTACATTTACATTTTAGTCATTTAGCAGACACTCTTATCCAGAGCGACTTACAGAAGTAATTAGGGTTAAGTACCTTGCTCAAGGGCACATCGACAGATTTTTCACCAGTCGGCTCGGGGATTAGAACCAGCAACCTTTCGGTTACTGGCACAACGCTCTTAACCACTAAGCCACCTGCCGCCCACTTTCATCTACTTACACGCCTTCTTAAAAGTGAAATGTTTTCAGTCATTTCATGGGGAAGATAGTGCATTCAGAAAGTACAGTATTCATAGCCTTTGACCTGAATTAAAAATGGATTAAATTGATATATTTTCTAACCCATCGACACACAACACCCCATAATGACAAAGTGAAAACGTGTTTAGAAATTTTAGCTAACATGTTGAAAATGAAATGCTGAAATATCTCATTTAAATAAGTATTCACACCTTAAAACACAAGGCGAAATCTACGCTGGAGTTGTTGACCAAGAAGACAGTGAATGTTCCTGAGTGGCCTAGATAGTTTAGACTTAAATCTACTTGAAAATCTATGGGACGACCTAAAAACGGTTGTCTAGCAACGATCAACAACCAATTTGACGTAGCTTGAATAAATCTCACCCATCTACACACAATACCCCATAATGACAAAGTGAAAACACGTTTGGTCGATACTTTGTAGAAGCACGTTTGGCAGCTGCCAAAGCTGTGAGTCTTTCTGGGTAAGTCTCTAAGAGCGTTCCACACCATCCTCAGTTTTCTCCCTTCGCAGCCATTCAACTCTGTAACTGTTTTAAAAAGTCACCATTGGCCTCATGGTGAAATCCCTGAGCGGTTTCCTTCCACTCCGGGCGACTGACTGACTGCAATAGGAAGGACGCCTGTATCTTTGTAGTGACTGGGTGTATTGATAGCACCATCCAAAGTGTAATGAATAACTTCACCATGCTCAAAGGGATATTCAATGTCTGCTTTTTTGCGTTTTTTACCATTCCACCAATAGGTGCCCTTCTTTGCTGTATTTGTTGACAGTCGCTCTCTAGTCATGGTTTTAAACGTTTCGAAATCTCACAGTATCAACATTGCTGTAGCTTTCTTTTATGCCTGCTATGTTACTGCAGACACGGTAATCTGAGCCATCTGATTGGCCAGCGGTGGGCCTATAGTGCACTTGATTTTTCTCTCCGGGACCGCCAGGAAGGCAGACTTTGTACCTTCAGACACATGAAATGGTTCAAAATGGCAACAGTTTGCCTACCCGGCGCAGGGCAGCTGAATCGGGTGCACCTAACCCTAACAGTCATCTTTTTTTTTTTTTTTACATAAATGTTTGTCGATCGACTAGGAATGCTTTGGAGAGCAACCAGTCGATCATGATCGACCGGTTGGTGACCACTGCTTCTCTTTGTGGGCTGATATTTCTTCTGCGCAGAAGTCCTGGGGGAGCTGCGCGGCAGTCTCGGGGCTACTGCGCGCCCGCACGCAGCTTATTGGGAACATTGGTCAGAAGTTAACTACATCAGAAGTGTGCTATCCTATCCTCAACAGCACTCGCAACAATATCATTATGGATTCATATAATTTGGCACAAAAACACCACGTGTGACATTATTTCCTATTGTAGCTTATTTCCTATACTAGAAATTGATGGAAGAAGTTCTATTTAGCTAGGCCTAGGCTCACTTCTTCACTCCGGGAGACCTTGTAGCCTACACATAGAGCTCCTGTCGTTGAAGGTTAGTACGTCCCTAGCCCAACCGGCTGGCAGATGTCGCTATTATTCCTTTACGTCGCGTTTCTCATCTGCATCAGAGAAGAGGCAAAGCGAGAGGGATAACTGGGCTCCAACTCTGTCTTCTCCAGCAGGTGGCGTTTGTCTTTTTTATTTTTTGATCACTAAGCGAGGAGTTTTTGTGTGGAGGTCAATGAGTGTCGAATTTGGTTAACAAATGTAATGGCTTATTTGCTACGTGTGGCTTATTTTAGCGAAAAGAAATGTTGTAATGCTTAGGTTGTTATGAGTGTACTGAAATGTAGGACACGTGACATCCCGGCAATTTGAGAAAAAACACAGTTGGGACTGTTCACACGCGTATCTGCCCTCTCATTGGTTAGTATGGTCCCATCTGATATTGCCTCCTCCCAACTGCCTTGCATTTGTTCCGATTTTTTTTTTTCATTGTTTCAGCGGCCACTCGAGAATCTGGTCAATATTATGGATATTCTGCGTCCAACTGGAGTCTATGCAGCCAGCTATACCTTGTGTCCCCTGGCAACCGGCTCGTACATAAATTATAATTCAGGCTGCAAGGGTTTAACTTTAATGGTGAACGCCAAAAAACAAACTGGAAAAATATGCGTACTGTCTTATTAAAACATTTTCCACCACCATGCTAGAGTGGCTAATGCTACTTCCTGATGTTGCAAATGACGGTCATCCAGCCCACTGAGCTATAATTAACTGGAGACTGCGTCCAAGATGTCCAACCATTGTTTTCAACGTAATTTACTCATGTTCGCATACGCTGATTCATGGAACTTTTTATTTAGTTGTGTGTGTGTATATATATTTAACCCTCTTTCTCCATAATTTTGTGATATCCAATTACGATCTTGTCTCAACGCTGCAACTGCCCAACGGGCTCGGGAGAGGTGAAGGTCGAGTCATGCGTCCTCCGAAACATGACCCGCCAAATCGCACTTAACACCCGCCCGCTTAACCCGGAAGCCAGCCGCACCAATGTGTCGGAGGAAACACCGTTCAACTGACGACAGAAGTCAGCCTGCAGGTGCCCGGCCCGCCACAAGGAGTTCATGGACCTTTACACGGCCCAACTTCACATGCGCACAAGCACTCAGTGCACACAGAGAGCAGCGACGAAGTCGTCCAAAAATATGGCAGACATTGGATAAATATAAAATGTTTATCTTCGGCTGTGAGTGATAAAAAATACCAAAATAAAAAAACTGCCTCAGCAACAATGTTTTGAATAATTCAATGGATGTTTTGTGCACAAAGGTGATGACTAAAGTCTTATTAGGAATTTCAAATCTGACTTCTCTGTGGCAATCTATGGAAATTGTCTTTCTGTGCCGGGCATCAGTTAAACTGCAGTACCAAAGCAAGGCTGTACGAGAAGACCGCTGCAACCTTATTGTCTGAAGTTGTTTTTTCAGTGGCTCGCCATTAAAGCTAGTACATCCTGTATCCCTAAAACATATTTACCAGCCCTCTGGTTTACCTATTTCCGAGCAACTTTTCCTGTCATTGAAGGCAAATCTATAATTTGGAATACCTTACCATTCGCTATGGGCTATACAATGTGTGAAAAGTGACGCCTATATCCAACTTTTCCAGAGTTGACCAAATTCACTCCATATTCAGTGCACTGCCATCTAGGATCACGCAGTAATCTTGTGGCAACTACTACAGAGTATGGTGACTAGGGAGTGCGCTTCGGAATGTTTTTATTTAAACATTTTAACCTGTAGCGAATGGTAAGGCATTCTGGATTATAGGCAAGCCTTCGGTGACGGGTAAAGTTTATCGAACTAGGTCAACCAGAGGGCTGGTAAATAGGCTTATGTTTTATGGATACAGGATGTGTCCTTCAGCGACGGGAGCCCAATGTGTACAGGTCTCCCAGAGCGAAGAGGCTAGTCCTGCCTGCCTATACAGAAAACATACCCAAATGTATTTTTTTTCAGGTTCCACCAATGCATGCGAGAGGACGTCATTTGTTTTTTTGAGACAAGAGCTACCTGTGCGACTATCTAACATCATGAAGGAGATCAATTTGCTACCTGAACGATTGCTTACAACCCCATCCGTGCAGATGGTGCAGAGCTGGTAAGAGAGTTTGACTATTCTGTAAGTGTAGTTGAGTTTGAGAGGGTGATACTGCATTTAACATATTATAATTTTTTTGAACCCAGTAGTTTTACATATTGTTTCATTCACTGTTTTGAAAATGTAGTTCATATAAACCACACTAAGCTATTTGTTTGTTGATATTGGTATGTTGGTGACATATCCCTGCATCTCTCCCTGACCTTAACTTTGCCCTAGTTTTCCCCTCCTGACAGTCTTTTGCAGTGGGCTTTGCATCGGGAAAGCCATTTCAATCTGGAAAGCACTGCTGTTTGTAGAAAAGTATTTCCATAAACGTAAGGCCTATATGTACAGTGCTGTTATTACCCTTGTTGGAACTTTATTCTATTGTAGCCCTCTTGTCTAATGCAATAACCTTCAGTCCATCTTTATTTCAGCACAACGAAGAGCACCCACAGACAACTTCTGTAAAAGCCCAGATCTTCCGTCACGCACACTGTCAAAATGTATCATACTGATGTACAGAACAGATCCTGTGAAATGCTCATAACTTCTAGCTGGTGTGGAATACTACAAAAGCAAGCCGCTGTTGTCGCATTAATTTTCAAACAATATTTGCAAATGTGTGATCTGAAGACAAAGGCCGATGAACATCAACATGGTTCTACAGTGAGGGGAAAAAAGTATTTGATCCCCTGCTGATTTTGTACGTTTGCCCACTGACAAAGAAATGATCCGTCTATCATTTTAATGGTAGGTTTATTTGAACAGTAAGAGACAGAATAGCAACAAAAAAATCCAGAAAAACGCATGTCAAAAATGTTATATATTGATTTGCATTTTAATGAGGGAAATAAGTATTTGACCCCCTCTCAATCAGAAAGATTTCTGGCTCCCAGGTGTCTTTTATACAGGTAACGAGCTGAGATTAGCAGCACACTCTTAAAGGGAGTGCTCCTAATCTCAGTTTGTTACGTGTATAAAAGACACCTGTCCACAGAAGCAATCAATCAATCAGATTCCAAACTCTCCACCATGGCCAAGACCAAAGAGCTCTCCAAGGATGTCAGGGACAACATTGTAGACTTACACAAGGCTGGAATGGGCTACAAGACCATCGCCAAGCAGCTTGGTGAGAAGGTGACAACAGTTGGTGCGATTATTCGCAAATGGACTAAACACAAAATAACTGTCAATCTCCCTCGGCCTGGGGCTCCATGCAAGATCTCACCTCGTGGAGTTGCAATGATCATGAGAATGGTGAGGAATCAGCCCAGAACTACACGGGAGGATCTTGTCAATGATCTCAATGCAGCTGGGACCATAGTCACCAAGAAAACAATTGGTAACACACTACGCCGTGAAGGACTGAAATCCTGCAGCGCCCGCAAGGTCCCCCTGCTCAAGAAAGCACATATACAGGCCCGTCTGAAGTTTGCCAATGAACATCTGAATGATTCAGAGGAGAACTGGGTGAAAGTGTTGTGGTCAGATGAGACCAAAATGGAGCTCTTTGGCATCAACTCAACTCGCTGTGTTTGGAGGAGGAGGAATGCTGCCTATGACCCCAAGAACACCATCCCCACCGTCAAACATGGAGGTGGAAACATTATGCTTTGGGGTGTTTTTCTGCTAAGGGGACTGGACAACTTCACCGCATCAAAGGGACGATGGACGGGGCCATGTACCATCAAATCTAGGGCATTGAAAATGGGTAGTGGATGGGTATTCCAGCATGACAATGACCCAAAACACACGGCCAAGGCAACGAAGGAGTGGCTCAAGAAGAAGCACATTAAGGTCCTGGAGTGGCCTAACCAGTCTCCAGACCTTAATCCCATAGAAAATCTGTGGAGGGAGCTGAAGGTTCGAGTTGCCAAACATCAGCCTCGAAACCTTAATGACTTGGAGAAGATCTGCAAAGAGAAGTGGGACAAAATCCGTCCTGAGATGTGTGCAAACCTGGTGGCCAACTACAAGAAACGTCTGACCTCTGTGATTGCCAACAAGGGTTTTGCCACCAAGTACTAAGTCATGTTTTGCAGAGGGATATACTTATTTCCCTCATTAAAATGCAAATCAATTTATAACATTTTTGACATATTTTGTTGTTGTTATTCTGTCTCTCACTGTTCAAATAAACCTACCATTAAAATTATAGACTGATCATGTCTTTGTCAGTGGGCAAACGTACAAAATCAGCAGGGGATCAAATACTTTTTTCCCCTCACTGTAGAACCATGTTGATGTTCATCGGCCTTTGTCTTCAGATCACACATTTGCAAATATTGTTTGAAAATTAATGTGACAACAGCGGCTTGCTTTTGCAGTATTCCACACCAGCTAGAAGTTATGAGCATTTCACAGGATCTGTTCTGTACATCCGTATGATACATTTTGACAGTGTGCGTGACGGAAGATCTGGGCTTTTACAGAAGTTGTCTGTGGGTGCTCTTCGTTGTGCTGATATAAAGATGGACTGAAGGTTATTGCATTAGACAAGAGGGCTACAATAGAATAAAGTTCCAACAAGGGTAATAACAGCACTGTGTTATAAGTAGGGTCGCAAAGGGAGGGTATATTACTGGAAACGTTCAAAGTTTACCAGTAAACTACCAGAATTTTGGTTTGACATTTGTCATTTAGCGGACGCTCTTATCCAGAGCAACTTAATTGGTGCATTCATATTAAGATAAGTGGGGGTGGGGTTCAGATGTTTTTGGAAAATGGGCAGGGACTCTGCTGTCCTAGCTTCAGTCGGAAGCTGGTTAAAACATTGGGGTGCCAGGACAGAGAAGAGCTTTGGCTGAGCGGGAGCTGCCCTCCCGTAGGGGTGGGAGGGCCAAGAGACCTGAGGTGGCAGAACGGAGTGCTTGGGTTGGGGTGTAGGGTTTGAGCATAGCCTCAAGGTAGGGAGGGGCAGTTCCTCTTGCTGTTCCGTATGTAAGCACCATGGTCTTGTAGTGGATGAGAGCTTCGACTGGAAGCCAGTGAGGTGACATGAGAGAACTTGGGTAGGTTGAAAACCAAGCGGGCTGCAGCGTTCTGGATAAGTTGCAAGGGTTTGATGGCACAAGCGGGGAGCCCAGCCAACAGCGAGTGGAAGTAGTCCAGACGGGAGATGACAAGTGCCTGGATTAGGACCTGCACCTCTTTCTGTGTGAGGTAGGGTCGTACTTTATGGATGTTGTAGAGCATGAACCTGCAGGAGCGGGTCACTGCTTTGATGTTTGCAGAGAACGACAGGGTGTTCTCCAGGGTCATGCCAAGGTTCTTTGCACTCTAGGAGGGTGACTCTGTGGAGTCGTCAACCGTGATGGAGAGGTCTTTGAACGGGCAGGCCTTCCCCGGGAGGAAGAGCAGTTCCGTCTTGTCAAGGTTGAGCTTGAGGTGGTGGGCCGACATCCAAATTGAGATATCTGCCAGGCACGCAGAGATGCGTGTCGCCACCTGGGTGTCAGAAGGGTGGGAGGAGAAAAGTAGAGTGTCATCTGCATAGCAATGGTAGGAGAGACCATGTGAGGATATGACAGAGGCGAGTGACTTTGTGTATGAAGAGGAGATGGCCTAGAACCTAGCCCTGGGGGACACCAGTAGTTGAGAGTACATGGATCCACGCTACTTGGTCCTGCCAGGTAGGATGCAATCCAAGAGTGTGCAGAGCCTGAGACAACCAGCCTTGAGAGGGTGGAGAGGAGGATCTGATGGTTTACAGCGTCGAAGGCAGCAGATAGATCTAGCAGTGCGGAGAGCCTCCGTGACACAGGAGCAGTCTCGGTTGAGTGACCCGTCTTGAAGCCTGACTGGTTAGGGTCAAGAAGATCGTTCTGAGAGAGATTACGAGAAAGTTGATCAGAGACAGTACGTTCAAGTGTTTTGGAAAGAAAAAAATGGATACAGGTCTATAGTTTTTGACGTCAGATGAGTCGAGTGTTGGTATCTTGAGGAGGGGAGCAACTCGGGCCATTTTGAAGTCAGAGGGGACGCACACAGCCAGTGGTCAGGGATGAGGGAAGTGAGGAATGGGAGAAGGTCTAGAGGAGGGGATGGGATCGAGCGGGCAGGTTGTCGGGCGGCCAGACCTCACTAGTCGCAGAATGTCATCTGGACAGAGAGGGGAGAAAGTGGTCAAGGCGTAGGGTAGTTCTGTGTGAATGAAACCAGTGGACTCAATAGGCTGAGTGAATGAGTAGTGGATGTCTTTTTCAAAGTGGTTGACAGTCGTCCGGAGGGAGAAGGGGTGGAGGACGAAGGAGGGAGGAGAAGGTGGAAAATAGTTTCTTAGGGTTAGAGGCAGAAGCTTGAAATTTTGAGTGGTAGAAAGTGGCTTTAGCAGCGGATACAGAGGAAGAGAAGGTGGAGGACTGAGTGAAAGGATAATAGGACCTTTTCGCTCAGCTGCCCGCAGCCCTGTTCTGTAAGCGCGCAATGAGTCACTCAGCCACGGAGCATGAGGGCCAGGAGGAAAGGGGACAGTGCGAGTCATAGGATGCGGAAATAGAGGAGAGTAGCGTCAAAGAGGCAGAATCAGGAAACCGGAGGGAGAAGGATTTAGTAGAAGGGAGAGATGATGGGGTAGAAGAGGAAAGGGTAGTGGGAGAGAGAGCAGATGCAAACACTGCCAGAGATCCTGAATTCCACATGGGTGGGTACACTAAATTACAAGGGTTGCAGCCAAGGGGTGGGGAGTGTCTGTAAAGCCTACAGGGAGAGTTGCGAACAGGTATAGAAAACACACACATAGTTGCCAAAGCTGCAAAATCAGAATCTGTAAATAACTAGGTAAGATACTAAAGTGAGAGTGGTGTGGAGCCTTCCTCTCTTTCCTTCCTCAAACAACTCGGCAAAACAATCTTTGTTTTGTGACAAAACCGCCACTGACTCAGCTGCTGCTGAGAAAACAGGGGAGACTGAAGAACTAATTGCTTAGCAGAGGTGAAGAGCACACCTCACTGTACTAATTGCTGATTGCCTAGTAGAGGTAAAACCACTCCCCCTCCAATACAGCCACTGATTACCTTGATCCTGGTTGATGTGTCAACAACTATCTGCAAATTATGAGCATTCAGCTGTTCATTCACATTTTAGTCATTTAGCAGATGCTCTTATCCAGAGCGACTTACAGTTGGTGTTCACACACCAAGTAGGCCACTGGGAAGACAGGCAGCACTTAAAGTAGACAAAAAAAAGTATACTTATCACTCCTGGAGATATCAGCAGTCCTCTAGCTATAGAATGATAGCCTTTCAAGGATTTTATGTAATCTATCAAGACATCTAGTGGCCATTTTGGGTACTTCAGATTATCTCTGGCCCTCTGTCTGGCCTCATCACATGTAAAATATATGAAATAATTAAATAAGATTTTTAAATAAGAAATAGAATGACAAAGCTGTAAAACATTATCCTAAATATAAGTCATCAACGTAGTGAATACCATTTGGTGTTTAATATGAGGGTTTCAGCATGAAATATCCTTAAATGTTTTTACTAACTTTTTATTTATTTTACTATGTCAATATGCATTTGTTGTCAATGTTTTGGCATCAAACTGGTGGCAGTTGTGCAAAAAGTCAATAGTTGCAGAGTTAATTGAAAATGCCATTGTTGATTAGATGCTTTCTTATTAACTAGGTTATTTTCTCTTGAACCATATGGTCTATCTAGTAAACTCAGCAAAAAAAAAAAACGTCCTCTCACTGTCAACTGCGTTTATTTTCAGCAAACTTAACATAATCATAATATAATAAATAATGTGTAAATATTTGTATGAACATAACAAGATTCAACAACTGAGACATAAACTGAACAAGTTCCACAGACATGTGACTAACAGAAATTGAATAATGTGTCCCTGAACAAAGGGGGCTTTGTGGCCACCAGCTGCATTAAGTACTGCAGTGCATCTCCTCATGGACTGCACCAGATTTGCCAGTTCTTGCTGTGAGATGTTACCCCACTCTTCCACCAAGGCACCTGCAAGTTCCCAGACATTTCTGGGGGGAATGGCCCTAGCCCTCACCCTCCAATCCAACAGGTCCCAGAGGTGCTCAATGGGATTGAGATCCATGCTCTTCGCTGGCCATGGCAGAACACTGACATTCCTGTCTTGCAGGAAATCACGCACAGAACGAGTAGTATGGCTGGTGGCATTGTCATGCTGGAAGGTCATGTCAGGATGAGCCTGCAGGAAGGGTACCACATGAGGGAGGAGGATGTCTTCCCTGTAACGCACAGCGTTGAGATTGCCTGCAATGACAACAAGCTCAGTCCGATGATGCTGTGACACACCGCCCCAGACCATGACGGACCCTCCACCTCCAAATCGATCCCGCTCCAGAGTACAGGCCTTGGTGTAACGCACATTCCTTCAACGATAAACGCGAATCCGACCATCACCCCTGGTGAGACAAAACCGCGACTCGTCAGTGAAGAGCACTTTTTGCCAGTCCTGTCTGGTCCAGCGACGGTGGGTTTGTGCCCATAGGCGACGTTGTTGCCGGTGATGTCTGGTGAGGACCTGCCTTACAACAGGCCTACAAGCCCTCAGTCCAGCCACTCTCGGACAGTCTGAGCACTGATGGAGGGATTGTGCGTTCCTGGTGTAACTCGGACAGTTGTTGTTGCCATCCTGTACCTGTCCCGCAGGTGTGATGTTCGAATGTACCGATCCTGTGCAGGTGTTGTTACACGTGGTCTGCCACTGTGAGGACGATCAGCTGTCCGTCCTGTCTCCCTGTAGCGCTGTCTTAGGCGTCTCACAGTACGGACATTGCAATGTATTGCCCTGGCCACATCTGCAGTCCTCATACCTCCTTGCAGCATGCCTAAGGCACGTTCACGCAGATGAGCAGGGACCCTGGGCATCTTTCTTTTGGTGTTTTTCAGAGTCAGTCATAACTGTGACCTTAATTGCCTACCGTCTGTAAGCTGTTAGCGTCTTAATTGACTGTTCCACAGGTGCATGTTCATTAATTGTTTATGGTTCATTGAACAAGCATGGGAAACAGGGTTTAAACCCGTTACAATGAAGATCTGTGAAGTTATTTGGATTTTTACTAATTATCTTTGAAAGACAGGGTCCTGAAAAGGGGACGTTTCTTTTTTTGCTGAGTTTTAGTAGCTTGGCAATCCTAGTTATAAGTTGTATTGCTGCAGCTAAACATATACACCACACTAGTCAGGAATGATGCAAACTGAGAAATGTGTTTTCAGGTATATCCAGAGCTTGATGGAAATCCTGGAGTTCTTGGACAAGACTCCTGACAACCACAGTGTCTTGGATGAGTAAGTCCTCAATCACCTTTGATAGTCAGGCAGGCCCTCTCATCAATCTATCACATGCTGTTTGTCTTAGTCGCCTTTTGTCCACTAGGTTTGTGGACACCCTGGTGAATATCAGGAACAGGCACAATGACGTAGTGCCCACCATGGCACAGGGCGTCATTGAGTACAAGTCGGTGTTCGGCCAGGACCCAGTCACCAACCAGAACATTCAGTACTTCCTGGACCGTTTCTACATGAGCCGTATATCTATCCGCATGCTCATCAACCAGCACAGTGAGTACAGATGTCAGTCCACTAAGTTACCCATTCTTTTATAGACTTTGTTGACAGCACAATTGTCGGCCATTTTGAAACTGACGTTTCCCCTCATTGGACTCTCTGTAGCTCTTGTCTTTGATGGAGCAACGAATCCACTTCACCCCAACACAATAGGGAGCATCGACCCTCACTGTGAAGTCACAGAGGTGGTCAGAGGTAAAAATAAATAAAGAAAATATGGATATTTTTATGTGGTTTTGAGCTGTCATAGATTATATAGACTTGTAATATCCTATGGGTGCATGGAGAGAATAGATGGGTCCAATTGTAGTTTTGATGTAGTCAAATATAACATCTGCGATTTTGCCAGGATGTCTCTTGGACCCAAACACCCTTATTGTGTCATTTCATGTTGTATTTTTCCAGATGCTTACCAGAGCGCCAAGTTGGTGTGTGATCAGTACTATCTGAGCTCGCCAGACCTGATGCTGCAAGAAATGAATGGTAAGAACCAAACCAAGAGTAATCAATCATCTATTCCACTGATATCACCTATGACGCACGCATGTAGATGGATGACCATTTTATGCTAATTTGGGAGTCTTGGATGAAATTGTCTGAGCACCACCGCTGTGTGTATAAACAATCTCTGCCGTCTGGAACTGCGGGCCAAGTAATTATTCCAGCGAGGCAAAAGTAATGGGTAAGTGGCAATGGCTGGCTGCCTCGGACAATATTGACACTGTGACTAAATTCCCCTCTATTCCCAGAATAATTAAAATGGATGTCAACAGAATCTGTCAATGACGCATTACATCCTAATGGCTTTTGAATTTTAATTGAACTGCAGAACTTGTTTATTAATTTATTCTCTTTCGCTTTACCCAGTCAACAACCAGAAACAACCAATAAGCATTGTCTGTGTGCCCTCCCATCTCTACCACATGTTGTTTGAGCTTTTCAAGGTATGGTAGAACCTGCATTAAAAATGTATTCTTAGATCGAAGATGTTAGTCACTTGTGAATGTGAATCTTACCTTGTCTATTGGTCCATCTTCCAGAATGCTATGAGAGCCACAATTGAGAATCATGAAGCCAGCAACAGGCTACCACCCATTCAAGTCATGGTGGCCATTGGAGGAGAGGACCTGTCAATTAAGGTACAGTATGTTAGTGAAATATATTGCTATGTTTTAAAAAAAAATACTAGAATTGCCAATACCAATTAATACCATTGTCACACTCACAAGTGCTAATGATAGTCTGTGGCATAATGAATTGACAATATCTTACTTTTCATTTTTTTAATTCTCCAGTTCCCCCCAAATCCTTATTTAAAGCTGTTATGTACGATTTTAATGTTAAACTAAGCCGCTAATCCCAGATAAGATTAGCAGGATTGGGCCTACGTTGACTTCCATACTAAGAGCCCATTATCCTTGTCCTGCAGTAACTTGATCTCAGTTCTGCTTGTTCTTTTGGTGATCTGACCGGTGTACCTGGGGTGTATTCATTACACCAATTCTGTGGCAAAACATTTCTTAAACGGAACGAAATGGGGAAGGACCTACCTGAATTTGTCCAATAGAAACTAATTTTGCTCTGTTTGCTTCCGTTTGGTTCTTAAACGGTTTCCATAATGAATACGTCCCTGGCAGTGACATAACACACAACAGAGGGAACTGAGTGGCCTTGTTGTCCAGTTACCTTGACGATATGCAGAATAGATGCCTTGGCTCAGCCTATCGTAAGGCACCTGTCTTTCTGGCAGTATCTCCACCTTTTTTATGACTGGCCATTCCTCCAATGCCTGACAGTTTTCTCTCTCTCTCTCTCTTTCCCTACTTCTCTCTCTCTCTCTGGTGATGCGTAGGTGAGTGACAGGGGTGGCGGAGTCCCTTTCAGGAAGATTGAGAATCTTTTCAGCTACATGTACTCTACGGCCCCCACACCAGAGAGGGGTGAGCACTCGCAGACACCATTGGTGAGTGCCTCTGCTCTTTGTCAAGTCTATTCTTTCATGGACCAGGTTCATATTCAGGATGGTGTAACATACTGAACTTTGCAGGTAGAAATGCTCTGAAATAGAGCTGACATGATTCCTTACTCTACATGTCAGAGAGGCATGTCTGGCTCTGTTCTACACAATATATATTTCTGTCCGAACTTTCCAATACACCCATGTTTATCAGACTATTGAAGCAGCCATGGTTTAACCCTGTTGTGTCGTCTCCTCTCCAGGCTGGCTTTGGCTACGGCCTGCCCATCTCCCGGCTCTACGCTCAGTACTTCCAGGGAGACCTGCAGCTCTACTCTATGGAGGGTTACGGCACTGACGCTGTCATCCACATGAAGGTAAGCTACATACTGAGACAATGGGACTCATATAAATAATAATAATTTAAAAAATAATTTAGCAGACGCTCTTATCCAGAGCGACTTACAATTAGTGCATTCACGTTAAGATAGCTAGGTGAGACAACAACACATCACAATCGTATCAAGTACATTTTCCCCTCAACAAAGTATTTATCAGCAAAGTCCGTGCTAGTGGGAAAATAAGTGCCCTTTTTTCTTTCTTTGGTGGGGGGAGTTATAAGTTACATTTCTGGAGACTCTCTAGTACCCAAACACTCAAATTGTATCATTTCACAATATTGTATTTCTCCAGATGCTTTAAACACAATAAAATACAACTCAATCTCCTTCCCTCCACAGGCCTTGTCCACAGACTCTGTGGAGAGGCTCCCGGTGTACAACAAGACTGCTCTGCGGCATTACAAGGTTAGCCAGGAGGCAGACGACTGGTGTGTGCCCAGCAGAGAACCCCTGGACCTGACCAATTACAGGGTAGCCAAATGAGGATAATGATGACGCCACCCTGGTTTTGATTGAGGCTCTGTGTGCCAACCCCCTGCCCAGACAGCTACCTAACCCCACCCAGATATGACTGGGTGTTGATGTTTTTTCATCCTGGTTTTGGCATTGGCACATTTTCTTGTTGTCCCCACAATGATTCCCTTCATGGTTATCTTTTAGGTTAGATTGGGGACTTGTGGAAGTATGGAAAAAAATTGCGTACTGGCACTTTAAAAAACAAAAAAATATATAATCTTTGTTCACCTCCATGAGTGTTTTTATGGGAGTGCCAGATGTTGATAATAAAAATAGTCACACTCTAATTATGATCCCAAACATTTAATGGGTATACCAACCCGGTTGCTATACCCATTAAATGTTTGGGAGCATAAGAATGTGTGACTTTCTTTCTTTTTATAGTTAACTCTCCGTTAGTCAGCATGTCTATAAAACATTTTTGGGTGTGTGTCAGCTTATGACTTTTTACTATTGCCCGATGTTGAAGTACACCCAAGGCCCACATGGGAGGGTGTGGGGTAGTGAGGCCCCTATGTCATGCTTCATTTTGGGGGGAGAGATGTGGCAGGGTGGGTCTGAAGACCCAGAGACTGTGCCCAGTATGTTATTGAGATGGCGTAGCGTGACCGTGGGAGAGTGAGAATACGTAACACCAGGGTAGCGTTCAGTATGGCCCAACGTTATGGAACGTTCAGGTAGAAACGTGGTGTAGAACAGCCAAGCTTTTCTATCATGTCGACTAGGGAATCATGGCATCTCTATACATTACATTTTCTATCTGCAACATTCAGAATGTTGCGTCCTTCTGAACGTGACCCAGGTTGAAAAGACAATACAATGTGTTTGTTGACCTCTCTGAGAGGCTCTTTATGTACTGTAAACAGAAGTGAGCTGGAGATGTTGAGGTGTGGTAGATGTCCTTTAGATGAACCAGTACTGTAGAATAATTGAATGTCCTGGCGGGCATTAATCTCCCTCTCTAAATCGCTGACTGCCAGAAAATGCCACCTCTGCCTTAAGTGCATCAGTCCTACGTTTTCTTTACTTGAAACATGTACATTATTAACAATGTAGTATTTAATCTATGACAAGGCTGCTATTGACTTACTAGTGCCATTGCATGGAGTCCATTTCATTGATTCTAAAATAATATTGTTAAGTACTGTTCTACCATGTGTCTTGATGCCTTCATGAGTATTGGTCCTGATGTCTATATTGATTTTAATAATTTCAAGTACATTTTCTCTTGCCAGTTCAATGGACCGGATTCAACTAACCAAAATGAGTTAGTCTATGTTCAGTGTTGTGACTTTCTGTATTCCTGTGAACTCAAGCTCTAGAGCAATACATTGTGGAAACAATTTTACCCAAGTTCATCTGCAGTAAGACTATGATCGACTTTGTGTTAGGAAGCCAGTGTTCGTTGGTTACGCGCCGGAGTTCTATTGCCTGTGGTGAAGTTCATCAGAAGCTAGTTAAAACATATCCCAAAGGGCAAAGCACATCGTTCTCTGTTAAGTTCTTATCATCTGTGAACCTTAAGGCTAGTCACATAGGAATATTTGACGCTGTGTATGTGATGGGAAGATGCTCCCTGCCTGTCTGCTTTTAACACTTCCCTTTTCTTTTGTAACTCTATACGTGTCTTCAGGAATATTTTAAATGTTCTTTATTTTTATGAAAATATATTTTTCGTTGAAATTATTGTTGTAAATATGTAGTGTTATTAAACCTATTTCAATGAGAAATGCTTGTTTAATACTTCTGTAATGTAGTGCTGATCACTGGGGCTTGGGGAGAAAGACAGTGTGGCCCTGTCCAGAAACAACCCCTAGCCACCAATCCCCAGGCATTTCATATAGACCTGAAATAATTGTTTCCACTTAGCCCTCTGAAGGGGTATGGATAATTTTTGCTATATTGCTTATCTAATCTGTGTATAAGTAGTCAAGGCTAGTGGCTGTTTCTTGTCCGGGCCCAGATAATCAGTGAGATATCTGTTTCTAGGCAGAAACCATCGTGTCTTGCCATTGGCTGAAACCAGCTCCAAAGTGACCTATCAAGTTCAGTAACTCTACCTTGCCCTCATCACAGTATACATGTCCTTAGACATATAGAATGTCACCCTGCATGTGCTTCTGTTAGTACCCTGACTCTCTTCTTTTACCAATTCCATCAGCTAAAGTGGCTGTTCTAAATAGGCTATATTCCACGATGACCTGGAGTTTAGTTGAAATAAAAGTGATTGACAGCCACCCAGGTTGTAGTTGGCCCAATACCAAATATGGGAGAGCTGGCCTCTACAGGCAGCTCATAGTAAACAAGTGGTTGGTTAAGAACAGTGGGGTCTGAAACGATGTCTCTGGAACAGCCATGGCTACTTTTGGAGTCCTTACACGGGACACTATTAATAGATTCCCTTTTATCTTTAATAATGTGGTGTCCTATGTGTAGTAGTATTATTATTGTAGCAACCTGCATAGCCTGCCATTAATACTTCTGTTTAGCATCACCACTGTATCAATGTTACCATAGACATGATCTTCAAAGTTTCTCATTTTGCCTTACTGTAGCAGAGGGATTTACCTGACAGCAGCTAGGCAGCCTTGACGTCAGAGCTGCAGGGATTTTTTGCAGGGACACCGTTGTCTTCGTTGACTGAATGGAATCGAGGGTGGCCTGGTCAAGTGAGGAAAGTTTTACAGTTAGTCTCATGCTCATATTGCCCTCAGAAAGCCTCCCAATATAAGGCCAGCAAGCCTCTGTTTAGCTCCAGGGAGCTTTGTGTAACATCCATCTGATGGCAGATAGCGTTCCAAACTAATGCCCCTGCTGCAATTTCAGATACAGTCTGCCCTGTTGCAGGTTTGTCTAAGTTTGTGTGCAGGGCCGGCTCAAGCTTTTTGGTTTTAAAGCTAATTTCCTGAAATTCTACACATTTTGCCGTGACTTATGCCATGTTAAAATGATATCTGAGTGAGAGTGGCTAACAAAATCAATGGGGGCCCCCTGGAGATCAGGGCCCTTGGGCACGTGCCCTTCATGCCCGGTCGGTAATTCGGCCATGATTAGTACAAGTTTAGATAGCTGGCTAGACTAATTTGCCAATCAAATTTTTTTTAGTGAGTGACAATTGAGTGACACACATTGACTAACTGTGGTGTTTTTCATACTCATAAGAATAGATCATTAGAATTAGAACCATGTGATATAAGTGGGATAGAGTCTTTTGTTCAATGCCCTAGGCCTAGTCTATGAGTCTGGCCAGCTAGACCACCTGTGCCCTGGCTAAAGACGTCTGACATGCATCCTAACAAAGAATAGCCAGTCTAGTTTATGACTGGGGGCATCCAACACACACTAGTGACAGACGTCTGCTGTCAGGGTCACACTTACTGCAACATACCTAGCTGACTACCTAGCTAGCATTCTTTGTGAGAGGACAATTGTTGTCATCCACCTGACAACAACGTTGTGTGGGACACTGAAAATTGAAAGAAACTCTTCAATAGCACTAGTCCAAAAAGTGTTGTTCAACTGCAGACTCACTGTGTTATTTCTATCAAGCTACCAAATGATGTGTATTTGATATGTAAAGTTGTATTGCTACTACCCCTATTGGGGTATCTTTGATACTGCAGTGTTGGTACAGCCCTCAAGCATCATTATGCAGCTGCACCCAAGGGTTTCCACTAGATAGCACAGTCACAAAGTCGGAATTGTCTACATTTTGAAATTTAATGATGACAAAAATTAGCTTTTTAGTCTTAATTTAAAGTTAGGGTTAGCAGTGGGGTTAGGGTTAGATTTACAATCACATTTTAAGAAGAGAAATTGTCTAAATAGGCAGGGTTTAAGACTTTGTGGCTGTGGTAACTAGTGACGACCGCACCCAAGGGGCCAGGGTTCCAGTCTAGAAGTACGGTTTGGACTGCTCCTACAGTCTTGCTTTAGTACTGCTGTTTAATTGAAGCCGGGCCCAGAAAGCCAATTTCCATAGACAGCCACATAGAGAAGTCAGATTTGAAAATTCCTAATAAGACACTTTAGTCATCATCTTTGTGGCTGAGGTCAGACATTTTTTTCTCCATCACCCCAGTATCTCTATTTGCACATCATCTCTTGCACATCTATCATTCCAGTGTTAATACTAATTGTAATTATTTTGCACTATGGCCTATTTATTGCCTTACCTCCATAACTTGCTACATTTGCACACACTGTATATATATTTTCTGTTGTTTTTTTGACTTTATGTTTTGTTTTACCCCATATGTAACTCTGTGTTGTTGTTTTTATCGCACTGCTTTGCTTTATCTTGGCCAGGTCGCAATTGTAAATGAGAACTTGTTCTCAACTGGCTTACCTGGTTAAATAAAGGTGAAATAAAAAATACAAAAAACTCACAGCCAAAGATATTGAAATTGTATATTCATCCAATGTCTACCATGTTTTTGGATGACGTGATGAAGTCGTTGCTGCTTGCGCTGCTTCCTGTGTGCACTGTGTTCTAGCACACGTGAAGTTGGGCCGTGTAAAGCAGATGCAACCTGGATATAGACGGTCCATCAATCGCGTGAGTAGATCATGTTGAAAACAGCGGTCGGACATCTTGGAAGCAGTCTCCAGTTCTTTATACCTCAGTGGCTAGGTCCCATGTAGCTCAGTTGGTAGAGCATGGCATTTGCAACGCCAGGGGCAGGGGTTTGATTCCCATGGGAGACCAGTACGAATGAAAAGGTATGCACTCACAAGTAAGTCGTGTAAAAATGTAAAATAAATTACATTTAAAATGTTAAAATGCCTGCACCCCTCAGTTTAGCATAAGAAGTGCCTATTTTCTCGGTTATTACAGTGCTGAGTGCATTGCTGACTTTTCCGCATGTAAAAACAGGACATTTTTAATACAGAGGAAATGTGAAATAGTACCACATATCCAACATTTTCACACGTTAATCCAATCCATGTTTCAAGTATGCTTGTTTTTAAACACTATGTTTTGCCCAAAAATTATTACATGGAAAATGCTGGTAAAGTGTTTTTAGATTCATACTGCAGCCTATGTCACTGCTCTTAGTTTTGCTGATGCTTACAAAACATTGTGCACACCCCATGGCTTCAACCAATCATCTTGCATGTGGTTTTCCCATGCAGTGCCCCATTAGCTGCTTACACAAGCAACATGTCTCAAACCCTAAATAAAAAAGATGAAAACTCCTTGACAGTGAACCTTTTCCTTTGAAGAGCCATTTCTGATTTTACCTTTCAGATCGGTGTATCGGGTTCATTTTATTTAATGGACAGCATCATATTCTTGGCTATATTAATCTATTATATTGATCTACCACTTAGTATCTGTTTTGGTTGTCTGACAATCTGACAATCAACACTGATAGTTTCCTGCCCAATTCACCCCTGATTTTGTACCCTGATGATGACCCATTTTGACCCCTGAAAAGTCAAAACGCAGTTAATAAATATGTATAGCCGACAACTTTTTCCCTGGGCCTTTGTTGACCACACTGCATCCAAAACTGCTGATGGTATGATCATTTCATGTACACGTCTGCGTCTTGTCTGTGAAAAGTAACACCTAAACTTACTGAGTGGGTAAAATGCTGTTAAACTGAAGTTCTTAACTTCTCTTTTTTGGTTTGTGACATTAGTCCTTGTTCATGGGTATATACGTCCATCCGTGGACTGATTTTCAAGATGCTGACCTAAACAGGTGGGGACACGTTTTTACATTTCAAGTGCTTTGTAGAGTTACATTTGTATTTTTATTAGGGATCCCCATTAGCTGCTACCAAGGCAGCAGCTACTCTTCCTGGGGTCCAAACATATTAAAGCACTTACATTACATATAAAACAAAATATAAAACAGTACATCATATGACATTATTACACCACTACCTATCTACAATACAAAATGTTTAATACCACCATACAACAATATCACAATGTGTGCGTATGCATGTGTCTATACCCTTGTGTGTGTCTCTTCACAGTCCCTGTTGTTCCATAAGGTGTATTTTAACCTGTTTTTTAATTCTGATTATTCTGCTTGCATCAGTTACCTGATGTGGAATAGAGTTCCATGTAGTCATGGCTCTATGTAGTACTGTGCACCTCCCATAGTCTGTTCTGGACTTGGGGACTGTGAAGAGTCCTCTGGTGGCATGTCTTGTGGGGTATGCATAGATTTCCGAGCTGTGTGATAGTAGTTTAAACAGACAGCTCGGTACATTCAGCTTGTATACACCTCTTACAAAAACAAGCAGTGATGAAGTCAATCTCTCTTCCACTCTGAGCCAGGAGAGACTGACATGCATGTCATTAATGTTAGCTCTCCGTGTACTTCTAAGGGCCAGCCGTGCTGCCCTGTTCTGAGCCAACTGCAATTTTCCCAAGTCCCTCCTTGTGGCACCTGACCACACTACTGAACAGTAGTCTAGGTGCGACAAAACTATGGCCTGTAGGACCTGCCTTGTTGATAGTGTTGTTAAGAAGGCAGAGCAGCGCTTAATTATGGACATACTTCTCCCCATTTTAGCTACTGTTGTATCAATATGCTTTGACCATGACAGTCTACAATCCAGGGTTACTCCAAGCAGTTTAGTCTCCTTAACTTGCTCAATTTCCACATGATTCATTATGAGATGTAGTTGAGGCTTAGGGTTTAGTGAATGATTTGACCCAAATGCAATGCTTTTAGTTTTGGAAATATTCATTCAGGACTAACTTATTCCTTGCCACCCATTCCAAAACTAACTGCAACTCTTTGTTAAGTGTTGCAGTTATTTCAGTTGCTGTAGTAGCTGATGTGTATAGTGTTGAGTCATCCACATACATAGACACACTGGCTTTACTCAAAGCCAGTGGCATGTCGTTAGTAAAGATGGAAAAAAGCAAGGGGCCTAGACAGCTGCCCTGGGGAATTCCTGATTCTACCTGGATTATGTTGGAGAGGCTTCCATTAAAGAACACCCTCTGTGTTCTGTTAGACAAGTAACTCTTTATCCACATTATAGCAGGGGGTGTAAAGCCATAACACATACGTTTTTCCAGCAGCAGACTATGATCGATAATGTCAAAAGCCGCACTGAAGTCTATCAAAACAGCCCCCACAATATTTGTATCATCAATTTCTCTCAGCCAATCATCAGTCATTTGTGTAAGTGCTGTGCTTGTTGAATGTCCTTCTCTATAAGCATGCTGAAAGTTTGTTGTCAATTTGTTTACAGTAAAATAGCATTGTATCTGGTCAAACACAAAACATTTTCTCCAATAGTTTACTAAGGGTTGGTAACAGGCTAATTGGTTGGCTATTTGAGCCAGGAAAGGGGGCTTTACTATTCTTAGGTAGCGGAATGACTTTCTTTAAACACAAATGTCAGTTCCTGTACCGTTGGTACCATTTAAAATCCTTTAAGTGCATTACATTAATAATTTGCTCCAGGATGCTAATATATTCTGTTTCAACACATTTGACAGAGGAATTTGACAGCCGTTATAGTTTTCCCTAACTTTGGTGTTCTAATCTACAGAGTCCCTCATCATTGACTTTGAGATGCAGTGTTTCAAGGTAAGAACATTTAGACAGCATAAATTAAAACGAAATACCTTATATCTGATCACGCTCCTCTTCTAATTAATATGTAATTACCAGAACATTAATTTGGGAATAGCACAATATCTCAAAATGATCTTAGAAATGAATAATAATTGAAATAGTACTATCTTATATAATTGATTTGTCACTGTTTTCCCCAGATGATTGCATTAGCTGATGCTGTGTTCTTTGCTATCCTATCATCCTACACAGTGGGCTCAGTAGGGAATGCCAGTTCTGTGAGTATCAACTACTCTGAGTGATGTTCAAAAGCAGAGCAGATGGAGATTTGGAATATAGAAATCATACATTATGTATTAAATACTTTCTTCCCAATGTTGTTTACTTTGGATGAAAGTTCCAACTCCTGCCTAATAATGAGATTGGCACAGTGCAAAAAAAAAATCAAAAGGATTGCCAAATGAATAACACAAATAGATTATCTTAATCTTCCAGGTTGAGTTTAAGATTAGGACATTTGAGGATCAACCTTTGGTGATGCAACTTGCTGCTGTCTACAAGGTAATGCCATTAAAAAAAAAAAACTTAAATTACATGTTTTAGAAATTATTTCTGTGATGTAGCCTAATCAATCTTTGCTCATCCCTAACAATAATGCTGTGTAACAAGATTAATTAGTTATTCATTGGTTATTGTCATATATCTTTCTTTTTTTATCAGGAAATGGAACACTTAAAATGTGAACAAAAAATATTTGGCAACAGCGGGAGGCCCTGAATCAGTTAAGGGATTTTCCTCTTAATTAAGATCTATCTTTTTTTATATGATTGTGTGCTTCTTTAAACAGGCAGATTATACTTTTTGTATGTGTTTCTTCATCCACAGATGCTGACAAGCCCAAAGATTGAGACTACAACAGAAATAGGTCAGTGAATTAAATATGATTATTAGTCCTTTACATCACAATTACATTTCTATAACTTTTTTTATGAAGATAATTTTTGCAGCTTGTAATATAGTATACCTATCTGACATTTACTGCAGTAGATTTAATTATTGTTGATAAGTAAAATTTGATCATCATTATAATCCTTGACAAGATATCCATATGACTAGCTTTAGTGTGAGCATAACTGGTCTGTTGTTTATTTCCTGTCTGGTCTCTGTCTATGTGATATCTCTGGTAGGCAGCACTTCTCTTGTTTACCCTCCAAACCATGGAGAGGAGGACATCATGTGGTCATCAGAGGAAGAAGACTCTACGCGACCCTTCGATCCCTGCTTCCACTACACCGTCCTGGACCAGGCCTGGAGGGCCACTAACACCAGCAACAAGAACCAGATGTGTGACCGCAATGTCAAGTGGCAAGGCTGGTACCGCCTGTTGTACAAGGGCAACAGTCTGCAGATGCCCGAGAGGTGTGTGCCCATGGACAAGTGTGGCACCCACGCCCCCCTGTGGCTGGCTGGGTGTCACTTCTTTGCCTCCTACCCCGGTCCCATCTCAGGCAAGGTGAACCGCATCAAGTACAGGACTTTCCTTGTGAACGTCGGCGAGCCTTCAACCGGAGGACCGGGGTGTTCCAGGCTCCTGTCAAAGGAGTCTACCAGTTCTTCTTCTCCACACAGAGTGGGAAACACGGCGTCAAGACGGACCTGTGGTTGCTGATCAACGGTTACTGGGTGACTGTCTCTCACACCAACATCAGGAGTCCTGCCACTGTGGGTAATCTGTCCACTTATATGACCTTTCTGCGCAGAGGGACCCTGGTGTATGTGAGCCATGACTGTGGTAGCTCTTGGGCCAATGCTGCATCCAATACCATCACATTTGGGGGGTCACTGCTTGTTCAGTTGAACAGGTAGACTAAAGCCTAGATGTGTCTGTTTTGATTTTGTATATGATTCTTATTTACAGATGTATTGGTTTTGTGTTCATTTTTTTTACATTCTGTCAAAACAGCATTGCAGTTGAAAACAGTTCTTCTAACTTTGACTTTTACATTTCGGTAATTTAGCATAGCTTGCACTCTTGTCCAGAGGAACTTACAGTCAGATGCATGGACATCAATAATTTGGCTTAAAATAAATACTATATGTTGCTTCTGTAGTAAGTGAAAGTTTGCTTGAATTCAAAATGAAAACAATTTAGATTCTCAAGAGTTGAAATTAAAGACAGTCTTAATGCAATTCTCAGATTGTTTGACATTTCATTTCCATATTTTGCTGACATTCACAAAAGGCAGCAGTAAGAAAAATATTTCCCGCCCATGACGTTTTCAGAGTAAAATGCTGTGTTAGTTGATACTCTATGTCACTAAGATAGGCCTTCTGTATTTTAATTCGATTATAGTACACTAATAAGAGATTCTAAAAGAATAGCCTACCTCTCTCAAACACAAGATGGCATACTAGGGTATCAAATGTTATTTGTCACATGCGCCGAATAAAACAGGTGTAGAACTTACAGTGAAATGCTTACTTACAAGCCCTTAACCAAAAATGCAGTTTTAAGAAAAATAAGTGTTAAGTAAAAAATTGATAACTAAAAAATAACAAATAATTAAAGAGCAGCAGTAAAATAACAGTAGCAAGGCTATATTCAAGGGGTAATCGTAATTCGTAGGCAGATTACAGCAGCATCAGTTAAATTATATAGACTGTCAGTCATAAACCTATATATTGAGTTTATTTTGCCAGTGTTCAGTAGGCCTAATTCCAAGAAACTAAAAGTGCTGAGAGTGTTTTTGTCATATGTTCATCATCATCATCATCATCTATATGATGAGTCAGTGGTCCAAATTCTGTAACAGGGAGTTGAGTTGAGCCCAAAAAGTACATGCTATGTCTTTTTTTATATTTTTACATGGTATTCTTTTTGACATACAAAAACTACCCAAAGTCACAAATGGTAGGCCGAGTTGCCAACAACCGGAAGTCCCGGTTTTCAGGGGAAATGGAAGAGAGCGCCTGTGATGTGACTTCCACTGTTGGAAGTTAACTAGTCCACACTCCATCTTAACATTTACTGGATTGTTTGAACAGCGCAGAAGAGAACCTCCCCCGACATTTTTTTTTTGTCAAGACCCGAATGTGGGGGATCTAGTTTCAGGTGTTTCTTTTAGGCCTGCTAATTTAGATTAGCCTGCACTTAAGATAAGTTGTAGGCTATGAATGTTTCCTTATATGGCATAATTATAGGGAATCATTTGAGGCCCTGACTAGGCATACTAAATTGGATGTGAAGAACTTGTCAAAATGACCAGTCATCCCGAGAAATTTATAAAACTGTTCAGTGGTCTTGGGAATTGTAATATTTTCAAATTTACACACGACAAGTTTAGACCAACACTTCTGACCAGGGGGAGGAGCGTCGCGAGGCGGTTAGGATTCTATTCGTCTGTATTGAGTCAAGACGAGAAATTAAAGGAAAGGGCTCTATTGATAGGCGTTTAGTGTAACGGGAGTCGGGACAATACCTTTTCGGCGAAAGCAATAAGTCTGTCTGGATATGAAAACATATTCTGAAATAACCATTCCTATTTGAAACCTTCCGTTGTATTGAGAACAAATAATTATATACGTTTTGCTATAAGTTTGGCTGTTTTGTATCGTTTCCTTATTTTTCCAGCTCATTCAAAATGAGTAAAAAGTAACATTGTATCACTTGTACTGTTTACTACATGAATGAAGACAGTACTCATCGACGATTTAGCGCTTGAATAGGTGCATTGACCAGCTCGCCATTGTTTACCTGGTGTCGCGGAGGACCACTTCAAAACAGTGAAGTTGTCTTTTACCAAAAAGTATTTTCTCCTGAACCGATTTTTTTAGACCAAAATACAACATGGCAGAACACGAGAGTCTGGAGTTTGGAAAGGCTGACTTTGTTCTTCTGGACAACGTTTCTTTGGAGGAATTCATGGCTAACCTAAAGCTCAGGTAGGTAGTGGCGTCCACCACGGTCGTTCACCTCAATGAGGCAAGGCGTAGCCTGCGTGTTCAGGAAAATCATGTTTCCTTGTCTGATGGACGCTTTAGATAGTATTAAGCCTAAATAATGATAATTTTTTTGTTGTTCGTTCAATTAGGCCCCTATGTGTTTAGCACTGACTAATGTATGAGTTGTTTTCAAGCACCACAGGCGCAGGAGTGCTTGCTGTTCATTTTGACAGGTCAGAGTTACTGTTACAATTTTTTTTTGAATTTGCAGTGCTACATTCCTACACAACACCTTCCAGTAAAATTGTCAGATTTGTTTATTTTTAGTTGGCTGTGCCAGACTGCCAGTGCCATAGCCTAGGCTACTATTTAATGACTCTCTCTGAGTAATATGAATAGAATTCCCATTCCATTATGGAGTGCACATCTTGCAAAGCAACTTTTGTTTATCACTAACCACGTTTCCATCCAACCATTTCATGTGGATTAATTATTACCTGAGGCATAAAAGAAAGTCACGAGCCGGCTGATGAAAACATACAATTCCGGTAAAAATATGTTTTGCCGTTTGACAAAGACAAATAATATCGCTCTTATCCATAATAATCTCATAATGTATGTAGCCTACCCGCACTCTTATCTGCGAGCATACACACAAAAAATGTTTTATGCACGCATGACTGTAAGTCGCTTTGGATAAAAGCGTCTGCTAAATGGCATATTATATTATATTATTATTATTATAGCTGTTGGCTAGAGCGCATGTGCCAAGACCAGAGTGGGCAAATTTGCTATATAACGCAACAGTTTTTGTGACAAAACCATCAGTAGAGTTGAAAATGCGATGGTAACCCATTTAACTTGTGTGTTTCATTTGGTACATGGGAATTTAAAGGCAAAAGTTATTTTTATGTTATTTTTATTTTTATGTCATCACGCATTATTGTTTTATGCAGGTTTTTGAATATTCGCATGAAAATCTGTCGCACATTGGAAGGAAACCTAGCTATAGATGTCCAAGTTATTCATTGTCATTTGAAGGATGAAACAAGGAATAGCAGTTCTATTACTTGGCCTTTACTACAGGAATTGGCCTGTCATGTGAAAACTATTCCTCATGTTTTGTCTGCATACATGATTCTTTTGACCATTCATCCACTGCAGGTCAGACATAGAACAATGGACATAGTTTCCTCTTGGACCCTATTCTGTCCGGACACACAGCATTCCTCAGAGATGTTGTCTTTGTCAGACTGGTAATTCTATGAGCCATGCAGTGTGTGAATGGGGCGCCACCCAAGGAATCACAGTGCCCCACTGAAAAGCATCATCCGAACATACAGATTGTCCAAGGCTATTTTTGCATCATGAGTGGTTTGTGGGATGATGCCAACCAAACATGGCAACCAAGCATTCAAAGTCACTCACTGCCCTGGCCCAGTGTGCCTGTCCTCTGCTGCAGCTGCATGCAACTTTGCATGTGGTTTCTGACCCCATCGGATGTCAGGGTGTGGATGTAAGTCCCTTTTTTATGTAATGCTCATTGTAATAGCCTACTCCTGTTTTGACTTGAATATGGACAGAGTTGATTCTAGTAGAATTCTCTGTTATTGCATGCATGTGTAAACAGACATAGGCCTACATCTTATATGTCTCAAATTATGTTTATCATATTTGTTTTCCCTAGGGCTCTCCAACCCTGTTTCTGGAGTCCTACCCGCCTGTAGGTTTTCACTCCAACCCCAGTTGTAACTAAACTGATTAATCTTATCAATTATTAGAATCAGGGGTGCTAGATTAGGGTTGGAGCGAAAATCTACAGGAAGGTAGCTCTCCAAGAACAGGATTGGCGAGCCCTGGTTGTACCTGACTGGAGAGAGAGATAGTTTCCTCAAATTCAACTCTGGACCTCGAAGCCAGTTCCACTGCGTTTTTTCATTGTTCCCCTCTAATCAGGGAGTTAGACCTGGTACACCAGATGTGTGCAATTATCAGGTAGAAAACCAGCAGGCTCTAGACTTTGTAGGGTCAGAGTTAAATACCCCTGAGATAGTGGATGTGGGAACTATTTGACAGACCATGTAGTTCAGTACGAGAGTCTTTTCACAGACACACGTCTAAATCTGTCCTCACAATGATTCGATTTTATTGGTGTTTCTATCCTGATAAGCATCCAGTTTATAACATAGCTGTTTGCATTTAATAGCCAGGCAGCAGGATCTGCATACATCATTTTCCCAGCTTTCCCTGGCCCTACTGTTTGTCTTCCCTCCAGCTGGACAGGCCAGAGCGGAGATGATGTGTGCAAATTGTTATTTGCAGAGGGTGTGACCGACCAGGAGCACTTCCTCCTCCTTTCCCTTCTCATCCTGCGTGCATGCGTGTGTGTGTGTGTGTGTGTGTGTCTACAGCAGGGCGAAGGAGGCGTAGAGAAACACTTGGAGAAGGGATACACTGACAGAGTACATGAGGCATCTAATTGCCTCCTTCGATAGCTATTTTAAGGTGTGAAAGTTCCCAAATATCCACTTTCAATGCCATCATGGCTCTCTGGGGTTTATTTTGTGGTCAGCCCATGATGTCCATGTTGAGTCGCTAATCAGAATGTATCCCCTAGTGACTATATGATAAATTATGTGGAGTAGATTGCTTAGTTTTCGTCTTCATTTGGCCAGAGTGCTTGTCTAGCTGACTTGAGGTCGAGCATTCTGGCCTCAGGGAGCACAGTGCCAAGGAACTTCCTAAATATAACCCCAACAAATGCCCGATCTCTTTGGAAACGTTCCATATGAAAACAGTGAAATTCCAGTAAAGGTCTTGGGAATTTGCTTCAACGGACCAGTCAGCAGATAAGAGGCCATGAAGCCTCTACAGCACATTGGAACTGAGCAAATAAACCATTGTGATCCAATCTAACAATGGTGAAAACTGCGAAGGAAAGTGGTAGTCTCAAGGAAGTTGTTTTCCTCATTTCTGATTCTGGAACCTCCTTATATACACCTCTGGTGGTGTACCCCAAAACTCTTCTTTGTGGCACAATGTTATCACTGTTCACTGTTTGTCTTTTTATAGCACTTAGGTAGTGTTGTTTTGTCTGTTGCTGGGTCTGCTGGAAAGTTTGTTGGCAAACCGCTGCACATTTCGAAAACAATTTAAGCAATTTTTTTTATTCTTCCAAAACGTACGTCCTAAATACTGCAGATGAAATAGCTGATAACCACTCCACATGTCAGTAGCTAAGAATGTTCTCTTCTCTCACTGACTCCCAAACCTCCCAAACCGCCCTAACCTCCATTCTCGTTCTAGATCTTGTCTTTATATGTTTATATGTCAGTCTCTCCTGGCTCAGAGTTGAGGAGAGATTGACTGCATCACTATTGGTCTTTGTGCAGATGGCACACAGTTCAGACACTCATCAGTACAACACAAGACATGCAACCAGAGGCCTCTTCACAGTCCCCAGGTCCAGAACAGAGGCTGGGAAACGCACAGTATTAAATAGCCATGACTACATGGAACTCTCTGCCACCCCAGGTAACTCAAGTCAGCAATATAACCAGTTTGAAAAAACAGATAAAGGAATACCTTACTGCACAAAGGGGACTGTGAAGAGACACATCCATTTTATATATCTTATAATAATAATATGCCATTTAGCAGACGCTTTTATCCAAAGCGACTTACAGTCATGCGTGCATACATTTTTACGTATGGGTGATCCCGGGGATCGAACCCACTACACTGGCGTTACAAGCGCCATGCTCTACCAATTGAGCTACAGAGGACCACATCTTGTTTTGTCATTTGCACTGTACTATGTATTAGACCAAGATATTGTGTGTATGTAGGCTATGTGTGGCATTATAAATGTACAGTCCATTTTCTATTTTTTTTACTGAAATACCTTATTTACCTAAGTATTCAGATCCTTTGCTATGAGACTCGAAATTGAGCTCAGGTGCATCCTGTTTCCATTGATCATCCTTGAGATGCTTCTGCAACTTGATTGGAATCCACCTGTGGTAAATTCAATTGATTGGACATGATTTGGAAAGGCACACACCTGTCTATATAAGATCCCACCATTGTCAGTGTATATCAGAGCAAAAACCAAGCCATGAGGTGTAAGGAATTGTCCTTAGAGCGCAGAGACAGGATTGTGTTGAGGCACAGATCTGGGGAAGGGTACCACAACAATTCTGCAGCATTGAAGGTCCTCAAGAACACAGTGGCCTCCATCATTCTTAAATGGAAGAAGTTTGGAACCACTAACACTCTTCCTAGAGCTGTCCGCCCGGCCAAACGGAGCAATCGGGGGAGAAGGGCCTTGGTCAGGGAGGTGACCAAGAACCTGATGGTCCCTCTGACAGAGCTCCAGAGTTCCTCTGTGGCGATGAGAGAACCTTCCAGAAGCACAACCATCTCTGCAGCACTCCACCAATCAGGCCTTTATGGTAGTGTAGCCAGACGGAAGCCACTCCTCAGTAAAAGGCACATGACAGCCCGCTTGGAGTTTGCCAAATGGCACCTAAAGAACTCTCAGACCAAGAGAAACAAGATTCTCTGGTCTGATGAAACCAAGATTGAACTCTGGCCTGAATGCCAAGCGTCACGTCTGGAGGAAACCTGGCACCATGCCTACGGTGAAGCATGGTGGAGGCAGCATCATGCTGTGGGGATGTTTTTCAGCGGCAGGGACTGGGAGACTAGTCCGCATCGAGGGAAAGATGAACGGAGCAAAGTACAGAGAGATCCTTGATGAAAACCTGCTCCAGAGCGCTCAGGACCTCAGACTGGGGCGATGGTTCACCTTCCAACAGGACAACGACCCTAAGCACACAGCCAAGAAAATGCAGGAGTGGCTTCGGGACAATGTCCTTGAGTGGCCCAGCCAGAGCCCGGACTTGAACCCGATCAAACATCTCTGGAGAGAAAATAGCTGTGCAGCAACGCTCCCCATCCAACCTGACAGAGCTTGAGAGGATCTGCAGAGAAGAATGGGAGAAACTCCCCAAATACAGGTGTGCCAAGCTTGTGGTGTCATACTCCATAAGACTCGAGGCTGTAATCGCTGCCAAAAGGTGTGTCAACAAAGTACTGAGTAAAGGGTCTGAATACTTATGTACTTATACATTTGCTAAAATTTCTAAACCTGTTTTTGCTTTGTCATTATGGGGTATTGTGTGTAGATTGATGAGGGGGAGAAAAAAACAATTTAATCAATTTTAGAATAAGGCTGTAACGTAACAAAATGTGGAAAAAGTCTGAATACTTTCCAAATGCACTGTATGTATTTCAGGCCTTGACTAATAATGTTCTGTACTATGTTTTATGTGGACCCTAGGAAGAGTAGCTGATGCTTTTGCAGCGGCTTATGGGGATCCTAATAAATACCAAATTATGAGACATTTATTGGAAAATGTGTACTTCTTTAGTGAAAATTAATGAAAGAAACAGTTACAACTAGCCTTATAGTGACCCTGACCATCAGCTCTAGTTGTGTTGGAATGGTTAAACTAGGATGCAGGTTTCTTTTACCAGCCAAGAGATAATGCTTTATCTGATGGTTTCCACCTAATCAAAACATGAAGATGGTGGTAACCCTTGTTGGGGACATTATGACTTAGGGACTACAGTAGTTTTTCTGTAGTATTCAAAGCTACTCTTTTTCTGTGTCTATCTTCATTCCAATTAGTTTGACCTTTGAACTCCTAAGAGGGGTGTGGAGATTGGAAAAGGAAGGAGACAAAAATATGGCGCCTGGAGGAAGGCAAAGGAAAGCTGCCTTTTCCCATTGGCATTTCCCGTTCTTTGGCCTCACATTTCATTGTTTCCTGCATGTCCTCTCTAAGCCTGAATATTGGCTGAAACTGTGTTGACAGGGCACAATGTCTTGAGATTTAAAGTCCTACTGAAGTTATGATGACAAGATTAATATAAGAATAACATTCAATGACAAATAATACGATGAGGAATAGGCTCATATGATTTTCGTATACAGTACACACAGAACTGGCGCTCCACTTCCTGCTCCGAGAGGGACTGCATCTGCATGAAAGCACCTCCCAATTCCTCAGGGAGAGTTGTTAGAGGCAACCCTGGCTAGGAAAGGCTTACTATGCGAAAATTAGTTTTGCTGGACAAATAGGGCCTGGCATCTTCTCCCATTTCAGGCGTGTAAATGCTCATTTGTTGCCGTAACTACAGATTGAATCGTCGAATAGGTGCGGCACACCGAACATAGAAACCCGACTCCCTCCCTGCAGAGCAAACACAGGGATCAAAGTCTCTCCACGGTTCAGGTGCAGTGAGCAGAGAGAGCGGTCAAAGTTTCTACTTCCTCTTCCTGTTATACAGGATCGGTCTAATATACACTGAACAAAAATATAAACTCAACCTGCAACAATTTCAAAGATTTTACTGAGTTCATATAAGGAAATCAGTCTATTGAAATCAATTAATTAGGCCCTAATCTATGGATTTCACAGGACTTGGAATACAGATATGCATCTGTTGGTCACAGATACCTTAAAAGAACAAAAGTAGGGGCGTGGATCAAAAAAAAAAAACAGTCAGTATCTGGTGTGACCACCATTTGCCTCATGCAGCGCGACACAGCTCCTTCGCAGAGAGTTGATCAGGCTGTTGATTATGGCCTGTGGAATCTTGTCCCACTCCTCTTCAATGGCTGTGCAAAGTTGCTGGATATTGGCGGGAACTGGAACACGCTGTTGTACACGTCGAACCAGAGCATCTCGAACATGCTCAATGGGTGACGTCTGATGAGTATGGAGGCCATGGAAGAACAGGGTTGCTCGTCACAGTATCTCTGTGCATTCAAATTGCCATCAATAAAATACAATTGTGTTCGTTGTCCGTAGCTTATGCCTGCCAAATTCTCTAAAACGACAGAGGCTTATGGTAGAGAAATTAACATTAAATTATCTTGCAACAGCTCTGGTGGACATTGCTGCATCCCTCAACTTGAGATATCTGTGGCATTGTGTTCTGTGACAAAACTGCACATTTTAGAGTGGCCTTTTATTGTCCCCAGCACAAGGTGTACCTGTGTAATGATCATGCTGTTTAATCAGCTTCTTGATATGCCACACCTGTCAGGTGGATGGATTATCTTGGCAAATGATAAATGCTCAATAACAGGGATGTTAACAAATGTGTGCGCACAAAATAAATGGAAGATTTCTGGGGTCTTTTATTTCAGCTCATGAAACATGGGACCAACACTTTACATGTTGCGCTTATATATACAGTACCAGTCAAAAGATTGGACACACCTACTAATTAAAGGTTTATTTGTTATTTTTACTATTTTCTACATTGTAGAATAATAGTGAAGATATCAAAACTATGAAATAACACATATGGAAGAATGTAGTAATCAAAAAAGTGTTAAACAAATTAACAGCTGAAAGTTCCTCTTGCACAGTGAAGAAGGTGAATGGATGTCAATGAAAACAGTTGACTAGAAGGAGAC